AGCTGTAGTGACGTGCTGCAGCAGTTCATATGACAGTTTATCTTAAAGTGCTGGTGGATTCATCATGGCTCCTACAGACAGAGAGATTTCAGTAATACTTTAAGTCTTTAACAAGCTGCACTGTGCAACGTGGATCTAATAAACGTCACAACCGTGCCAGAGAAAATCACAAAACTTTACAGGTGTGGAGTTGAGATCAACATGAAGGCCAAGTTTGTAGATGGGTGTAGTTTGACCATAGACTGTAAATAAAGATGGATGTAGCCTCAGTGACGTCACCCACAGGTTTCTGAAGAGCAGTTCTGAAGCTCAGAGTGAACTGCTCCACCGTTGCCATCTTGGCAGTGTCTGACTCCACCCTTAATTCCCAGCTAATTCAAAAATGGTCAAACAGAAGGGGCATGTGTTGAGCCGAGACTTCAGTCAATACTGGTTTGTGGCAAGAAACACACACCTACCTGTCACTCAAAGAGACCACGCCCTCATTTCTCCATAACTTTGGTCCTTAATAAAATGTAAACAGGTGTGTTATATAAACAGGTGAGTTATATTAATGGTAGTTGTGAAGGAAGAGATCATCTCTAGAGACCAAAAACTGATTTTTTTCCAGTCAGTCCTATTTGCTAGAGGATCCTCAGTGGTTCAATAGTGGACAGAATTGAGACCTCATGGACTGACCTGGAACATGCCTCAAAGTCTTTTAGGTTGGGCCATAATGGGTTGTGAAAACCCCCTGAACATGCAAAGCATCCACTTACCATTGTAAAACTCTGAACTACAAACAGCACACGAAAACTAGCACCCGTTGTTGGCAGGATTCGAACCTGCGCGGGGAAACCCCAATGGATTTCTAGTCCATCCCTTAACACTCACCGCCACAACAACTGACGTGGATTCTGTGTTTTTTTGAGCACCTGCATTAGGCAACAGTTACACATCTTGATCATATGAAGATGTCTGAAAGGAAATCGAGAGTTTGGAACTAAAGAGCAGCTGCGATGGCCGGAATCGAACCCGGGTCAACTGCTTGGAAGGCAGCTATGCTCACCACTATACACCATCGCTTGGAAAACAGGGAATTTTCATGGAATTTTTCTGGTGTGTCAGCACTTTACATCATTGGAGGAATTTGACATTGTAATTGTGAAGTAGCAGTTAAGCTGTACCGTGGTGCATCAAAGCTACAGAGTGATTGAGTTTAACACTGTTGAGTGTCACTTTTGTGTATTCAGGGCAGCTACAGAAAACCTGAGTTCCATAAGCTCTGTCTGTGTGAGGTTGATGATTTTTATTATTCATTTAACTGCCACATGTTTGATACGTGACTGTCGTTTGTCAATACAAAGTCATGTGGAGTGTGGAAGAACTTAAAGCCGTCTTTGCTTTTTAGTTGATCACAGTCTTATTTCATAAAAATGCTTGTGAGAGCTCACATGTGGCTTTGACTTGCAACTGAATCTTTAGACCCCATTGTAAGATTACCATTACCGTATACCATTCATCCAAGAAACAGGGAGATACCATTTTTCGTCCACGGCGTCGAGCTAGTAAACTCTCTTGCTTTTGTGAAACTTCCATCGCTCAAGAACAGCTTGTTAATTCTAGGAGAGACTGTGTGTACTATGTTGTCCAAGTCTTAGTTAGTGGACAACTGTGCACAATCGTTTCCTTCCATTCATTTGTCAGCAGGATTTGAACCTGCACAAGGAGACTTCGATAGACTTCTTACCTTCATTGTTTTTCAACAGAAAGATGTTGGAGATGCCGGGGATTTAACCCGGGGCCTCATACATGCAAAGCATGCGCTCTACCACTGAGCTACATCCCCTGGATGTGCTCTTGACTATTTGTTTCAGCACAGCGGTTCAGTGGGGCTGCAGCAGTTAAAATTGCACTTCTTCTCAAAGTACTTGTGGATGCATTATGGTGCATACCGACTGAGACATTTTAGCAATCTTATTGGTTCATTACAGGCCACGATGTGCAACGTGGACGTAACAAATTTGAGTATGACTTCAAGTTGTGTGTACGAAGACTGTACATATAACACCTACTGAATAGTATGCTTTGTCTTTGTGTGTCATCATTGGAAATTGTGGCCTGGAGACACCCACTGTAGCTGGAACTAAAAACAGAGGATCTTTTTCCCAATATTCCGATCTACCCTCTGACCCTGTTGGTACAGTAATGGACCACCACTTTTTTGCTAACTGCTTTAAAACTCAACGAATGGAGGAAGAGAACAAGAGAAAAGGGAAACAAGAAACTAAAATGTGCAAGCTTAACAGAATATTGAGAACGGAGCCATTTCGATGCCATTTGATTTTTTTTGTACTGTTTCAAAGAAGAATCATATAAATGTATATGACAATCCACTGCCTTGTCCGGACGCGCCCAGTCGGCGCACTTTGCATGTGTAAAGTTTGCGTGTTTACAAATTTTTGTGTGCACAGGAAGTCCAGGAACGGGTGTGAAGACCACTGGACATGTCGGACTTTGAATCCCCCAAACATGCAAAGCATGCGCCTCACCATTGTAGACCCCCAAGTACAACAGCGCACAAAAATCACCTTCCGTTGTTGCAGGATTTGAACCTGCGCGGTGAGACCCCAATGGATTTCTAGTCCATCGCCTTAAACCACTCGGCCACAACAACTGTACACAGTCGCTGTTTGTGTGTCCCACCTGCAGTAGTCATCAAGTAAGTAGTAGCTAATTCAAAAATGGTCAAAGAGAAGGGGCATGTGTTGAGCCGAGACTTCAGTCAATACTGGTTTGTGGCAAGAAACACACACCTACCTGTCACTCAAAGAGACCACGCCCTCATTTCTCCATAACTTTAGTCCTTAATAAAATTTAAATAGGTGAGTTATATAAACAGGTGAGTTATATTAACGGTAGTTGTGAAGGAAGAGATCATCTCTAGAGACCAAAACTGTTTTTGTACCAGGCTGTAAACATGTTCATTTCTATTGTAAAGTTGGACATTTTAACATGGGAGTCTATGGGGATTGACTCACTGTTGGAGCCAGATTCTAGTGGTCATTAGAGGAACCACAGCTTCTGGTTCTTCAGTGTTGTCTTTTTTAGAGAAAAAAGTCCAGTCTATGCATGCTCTCCAACACCATTGTTCCCAGGGCCTTCAGACCATTTTTTTTTTAACATAATTCCCTCCAGGTTCCATTTCATAACAATCCTACTTCAGTAAAGAATGGTTCTCATTCAAATCTAACCCCAGTTTAACATTCAATATATTAATAATGCATTGTATATTTTAGTGAAAATTTACTACAAAGCTTCATTTTTCTTACTTTTCTTTATTCTCTGCTTCTTGGGTTCGAACCATGAGAACTGATTAATGTGTTTCATGAAGCTTCTTCCGTCCATGTGGAGACGACTGTCACATGTCATGAACCAAGTAGATGATGTGAATGAGCTTGAAGATCTGCTGGAGATGTTGGAGATTGAACCCCCTGAACATCAAAACCATCCGCTCTACCATTGTAAACACTGAACATTCTTGTTGCTCATTCTTCCTTCTTCCTTGTCTCCCTCTTCAACCTCGATTAACGAGGCACTTAAAGTTGCTGCAGCATTGCTATAACTGTTTTTGTTCTGTACAGGTTGCGCCAAAAACAATGGATCGGCATAAATTCCCTGACTGAGAACAGACACCCCCTCAGTGGAGCTGAGCCTTTACGATGACATGACCATGACATTTTAAAGCACGGTTAATAGTGAAACCGTTTGCATCCCCACTGTATTAACATCATGTCATCACAGGAGAGAGAACTCCACAGTTCAGACTCTGAATCACAGTGAACTCTGTTTATACTGACATATACTGTCTTTTTGCTTGTAATGCTAACGTTAGGGATCATTCCTTCCGTGCTTGTTTAAACAGTTCTTCTATCTCATTATTTTTTCCATTTTAGGGCTGTTGTTTAATATTTTTTATGTTCCTGGGCAACCCTTGGTTACCACGGTAACCACGTGCCTAATGTCACAATGCAATGATCTTTGGGTAATTCTTTCAGGCAAAGTCTGCACAAAAGTGGACTTACGGAAAGTGTGAATAAATGGCTCAAAGTGTCTGCTAGAGGATCCTCAGTGGTTCAATAG